GGAAAAAGCCCCAGGCTCCAGAGAACCATGAAGGCTAATTGAAGCTGCATGAACAGCTCATTAGATTCTCCACAGCTGGCGTATTGATTGGAGTATAGTGCAAGCATCATGATGCATGACACGATAATATTGTGCCTCCATTGATTGCTCTTTGATCAGCTGTATGAACCGGCTCCTTCTTCTTTTTTTACCCTTTATGGGCTGCTACGGGATATACTGCGTACACTTGTAGAACTGTGTAAGACATGTGTAAGAATGTTTAAAATACAACGCTTAAAATTGGCAAAATAGTAAAAGAAAAAACAAAAAAATGGAATGACAGTGTAGAGGCTTATTTCATGTTGATAGGAAACACTGTAGAACCTAAAAGACAGTAAGTTATGAAATCCATAAAACAATCTACATTATAGCTTTCATCAGTTTGATGCAGCATCAAGCCTTTTCTGTTCCTGCCTTTTGTACCTTTGACCATATCCTCCTACTCAACTGTCTGTGTTAAGGCTCTTCTTAATGATTTATACCAAGAACTGCACAAAACTGACTTAATTGTAAAGTTAAAACAGTCTAGGCTATGTAATTGTGTCCTGGTCAAAAGTCCACCCATCCTTGCCTTTAATAGATTTTCCCGTGTGTGTGTGTGTGTGAGAGAGAACAGTGTGGTCTACCCCTGACCATGTTAGCCCAGCGTTGGCCTGACATTATCCACAAGGTTTACTTTAGTTTGGTCTCTGCTGCAACTGATTCTTTGGAGAGCGGTCATGTTATTGTCTCTTCTAAGATCCTCTACTACTCTCTCTAGTTGGTACCAGCTGGTGACCATCATGCTGAGCACACATCTGTGTTCAAACCTGAGCCTTGGAACTGGAACTGAGGAACAGCTCTTATTTTCCTGTGTCCAGCTGATGCTGGAGGGACCTGGCCACATTGTTGTAATGCAGCAGAAAAATGCATTTAAAATTAAAAATGAAATGAAGTTTAATTGTGATTCCGAAACCCAACCTGAGCAGTGTGTTACCAAAAATGCAGTCCACTGCTCCTTTGTGTCCAGTGTTAATGGGGTGTCTCACAGATGGCTTTAATGCAGAGAGTAATGTGGTAGTCAATGACAAATGAGGCCATGAAGAACACAGCTATGTTTTGCAAATTGTCTCACCTTTTCATCTGGTGTATTATTTTATTGTAGCGTTGAACTTGTGAGATGAACTCTCAAGACAGTTGCTCCACCAGGAGTCTGCTGGGTATACCCGCCTTCACAGCTGGGACATGCAGCCTTTTTTTTTTTTTTTTTTCAAATCCCAGCCGTCATGTTATTCTGCAGAGTGTCAAAGTCTCTTTAAAGCTTCACTGTGTAACTAATCTCAATGCTGCAATCCCATCCACAGGAAACCCAGGATCAACTCCCAGCTGGTTGCCCAGCAGGCGGCTCAGCAGTACTCGATGCCTCCACCACCGAAGAAGGAGCGGAGGGAGAGGAGTGAGCGCCCAGAGAAGGAGCGTCCAGATGGAGAAGGAGAGCGAGCCAACGGTGTAGGACGCCCCGATGTCGAGCGCCCCGATGTCGAGCGCCCTGACATCGAGCGCCCAGAGGGAGTGCGGTCAGAAGCAGACCCCCCTGAGAAAGACAAAATCGAGAAAGAACTGCCAATCAAAGACAAACCTGACGGAGAGAAGGAGATCAGCCCAGCCATCACAAAGAAGCCCAGCAGCAAAAAGACCCGGTCAGTGGGAAGGAGGCTCAGAATAATAAAAAGACTTTGCATTTAGTTGCTCTTGAGTCATCTCACATAATCATCGTTAATCATTCATAAATGAGGTCACAATCGTAATTAATTCTGATTAATCCACAGCCACTCTGTGGTTAATCACATTTTTAAAAATGTGTCTGTGATAGCCACAGGTTGAAATCTTTATGTTTCTTAATCATTAATCAGATAGTTCTGTTTGAACTCAACATTTTTGGACTGTTAAGTTTCATATAAACCATAAAATTTTAGTTTCAACTTTGGCTTACAACTTGTTTATAAGTACATCTCAGGCTGGAAGACTGAGGTCAGATCTACTCTCCGCTTTTTTCCCCTTATTTGGTCTTTGTCTTTGTACAAATATTATATTCTTGAAATCAGTGACTATTTTAAAACAGAATCCTGACAAATTATGTGCATTTGCACTAAAAACATTGTGTATGTACAGTATATTGTTAAAGTATTTTGAACTAAAAGACAACAGTCTTTTTGGCTGTCACAATCACTTCTTTCTGGGTCATGATTGCACTTTAAACTTGTTGACATCTGTACTATCACTCAAATACTTCACCTGTGTCAATGTGTACTCTTGGAGTTCTCCTCACTAATATGTGTGTCAACGTGTGTCTTCTCTTGCAGACCAAAGTCAGAAAACCATCAGAGCCCCCCTAGTGACAAACACAGCATACAGTCTGGCAAATCGGTGACCAAGACCAACAACAAGAACTCTCACATTTCCAGGTGTGTAGCCTCAGCCATGGCAGGTGTGTGTGTGTGTGTGTGTGTGTGAGGCAGAACACACATCGCCTCTGTTCAGAGAGAGTCAGTCAGCACCAAGTTGGTAGGAAATCTCAAATGATTCACAAACGATCTGTACTGTGAACACCCACTCTCACTTTTCTTTACACTTGTTCTGACTGTTCATGTGTCACCCCGTGAATTGAGCAATTTCGTTGAACCACCCCCGGGTTGCTGGCAGAGACTCTCTGTTGTTGTTTCTCAAACACACTAATAGTCATATTGTGGTTGGCAGTTTTACCGTTAAGATTTTTTTTTTCTAACTGGAGTTTCATGATGTTTGGATATGACGATTCTGACGACTTACTCTAACTATTTCATACTGGAATAGGCCGTGTACCTGAGGTTTTTTGACCGTGGTGAAAACAGTACTTTCCAAGTCTAGTCTGTGGTAATTTTTTTCAGTTGTGACATTAACAGGTGTGCAGTGATAGCAGGAAGAAAACAAATGACGCAGCTGTGTTACATACTCATTTATGTCTTTCTGCCTTACTTTTAAACTAAAAAAAAACCATGTCTCTAGAACAAAATTACTTTTCAAATCAAAAGCTTAGGGAGTCGCTCATTAAAAAACCGTTTTACCACAAAAAAAAAGCCTTCACATCCGCTACAGTTTGCATATATTTTTTTAAGTTAAGCACCAGTTAGTTTTGCATGTAAAACCAGATTTCTTGAAGTTGTGTGTCACACATTTATTAGTTTTTGGTTAACCTCAATCTTATTTTTGTTAATTTAATCAGAGTTTTTGGTTAACTTTAAACTTTAACTTTATTTTTTGTATATCTTCACTCTCATGATGTTTCTATCTCTTTCTATCTATGTTTGTTTTGACCCAGATTTAATTACACTGCTTTCTCTCTTTTTACAAAATATCCATCATATTATAGTTTTTCTCAGAATTTTAAGAAATCTCAAAGTCACACTGAGAATCAATTTTCTGTGTTTTAAAAAGTATTTTTTGCAACTTTAATTGACACTTTTATGAAAACCCAGCTGTGACATTTCTGTATACAGAAAATACAAATTTTTTTTGGGTGATCATAATGATTTATTTGGGGTGTTTTTGTCTTTCTCCATCCACAGACCAAAACTGAAGAACATTGACAGAAGCACCGCCCAGCAGTTGGCCATCACTGTGGGAAACGTGACAGTTATCATAACAGACTTTAAGGAGAAGACCCGATCTTCCTCCACTTCCTCGTCCACCATCACGTCCAGTGCGGGCTCCGAACAGCAGCACCAGAGCTCTGGCTCAGAGAGCATGGACAAGGGCTCGTCACGCGCCTCCACGCCTAAAGGAGATCTCTCCGTGGGGCACGACGAGTCGTTCTGAAGGTCTTGCCTATTGTTTTTTTTTGTCACCTCCTTGTCCTGTCCTGACCTTGCTCCAGTTCCAGACCCCCGCCCGTTCCCTCTCACATGTTTTTGGACACTATGGATCCCTCTAAGGGAGAGACTTTTTCACCCTGCCCACTGCTGCCCTGCCTCCATTCCGTGAGCCGCCCCTGGATGCTGAGAGGATCAGTGTGAATAAAACAGCCTTTCTTGGAGGAACCTACCTTGCACCGTTGGCACAGAAGAGGAGAGTTTGGGCTGCAAAGAGTAAACGCCCCCCCTCCCCTTCCACCTCATCTCAACCTCACCCTGCGGTAGCTTCCAGACACTTGTATGTATTGTTTTATATTTGTATGTGGATGTGAGGCCAAGTCAACCTTTTTCTTTTTCTAAAGAGGAATTCTTCCCTGGGCACAATATCCACCGGCATATTAATAACTTTAAACTATTATTATACAATTATTTATTACCTGTTGCACCTGTATACTTTGGTCTTCTTCTTCTTTATGTTGAAGCTTTGCTGCGTAGCTCTGCCCATTGGTTGTTTGTTCAGTGTTTTTACTACAGTTTGAAAATGAAAGGACAAGACTCGAGGCACAGACAATGTTTTTTTTGTTTTGTTTTTTTTCTCTTTTACACATATTGGTGCTAGATACACTGTGAAGCGGATTAGCAGATCTGGAATTGCCCATTCAGCTAATGTGACAAAGTGCTGGTGAATTGAATTCACTATCTGTCTCACTCTCAACACTGGCGCGTGGACCTCCGTGGGGTCCGCAGGCTCCTCCTGTACTGGTCAGTGAGCATCAGAAGAAGAATCTCATGGCAGAGCTTTCAGCTCCTCTGTCAATCATTTACAATACTATAGCAGAATCTCTATCCTCTCTCTCCCTAACTGCACAGTATAGGCGGTTGTGTTAAACACTAAAAAAGCTGGTGATATTTTCTGCATTCCATTCCTAAAATGTTGAGTTTGTGGCTTCGGCTGAAGGTAGAGCTCTTATCATGTGAGCTGAGCTTCTCTTTTGTTTGTTTGTTTGTTTTGTTTTGTTGTGACTGAAGGATGGTAACATACAGTTACATATGGTGAAACCATATTCGAACTGTAAAGAGAATCTCAACTTTTTGTGTCGAGGCATTTGTGAATCTTTTTTTTTTTATTTTGTTTTTATTTTCCCATTTCCTTTCGCTGTGGCCCTGAAGACGATTATTTCAATCTTCAATCACCCTCCCAACCTGAGTTCCCCACAATCTAAGTGCAAGGATGTGTACAAGTTGCAAAGAGTGACAATTCAATTGACCATTTTTTAAATTATTTTTTAAGACTCCTGCCATTGAAGGTAAAAAAAGAAAGCGTATCAAATGGAACGAAACTGCTCTTTTCAATTGTTTTGAACAGATAGATTTATTTAAAAGGGTTTTAATTCACCCAAGCCCATACCAGACCAACTTAAAATTTCCTCTTCTTCTGTATGAATTGTATAAAGAATAAATGTGTATATGATATCTTAGTTTTATTTATTGAAGGACCAAAGGAATTTCATGACGTGATGCATAGACAGATGAATAACAATTTGAAAATGCAAATATCTTATGTGTGAGATGAATAACAGTTTAAATAAAGACTAATATAATCCATGTAAATGGTGTTCTTATTGTCCACTCATGGTCTCTGTGCTCGGCTGGATCTGGACAGAGAGTTGTCAGAGCTCCACCCGGTCCCCACTTTTGAATGTGGTACAAAGAAGCGGGCCAGGTGAGAGGAGGTCCAGGTTTTCTAAGGCTTAACCTTGGTCTTAGAAAACCTGCTTTTGACTTTGCTGCTCCGCATCAGTCCAATCCAGTCCAGTTCAGTTCAGTCCAGCTGCCCCACTGACCTTAGGCTAAGCCTCCCTGGAGCAGAGCAAAAACCAGGTTAGGCGAGGTTACAGTGTCCAGGGTGAGATCCACCTGTGTTCTGTAAGAAGATGTTCACTTCCAGGAAATGACGTGTTCAAAGCCTTTGTTCTGTTCTTCCGAAGCTTATTGTTATCTTGTAATTATGTACATTACTGCATACAAATATGTAATCAGTGTTGAAAGTGAGGAGAAGTGTTGTGAATAAGGGACCGGTGGGAGTGCCGGAGGGGATGCGAGGGAGGGTGACGGGGCGGCGACGTGTTCAGTCTGATTTTTACTAAGAATTCAAACCTGCTTTGTAATGCAACCTGTTAGAAAATGGGCCCAAGAAGCCATCTTTGTTCACCTGCCTTATCTGCAACCATTCACTGACTGAGTACTGCAACAGAAAGGATTCATGGGTAAATTATTATTGAGCAATGGCCATTTGCTGGGAATATGAATTTTGCTTGTAAATAGAATTTTAAAAGTGTAAAAGCAAACACTATGAATGATAGCATTGGAGCTGAAGTCTTTTTTGTTTCTTGTTTCCTTTTCCGCGCAAGCAGTTCTGTTCTTGTGTGCGACCAGTAACCTTAATTTACTGTGTAAAGATGGTTACATTTTTTAGCTTTGTTTGTCACAGACCCAAATATTAAATGCTTGTTTTAAATGACTGTATAATCTTAACCGTGAATTTCCATTTAAGTGTATTATACAAACTCATTTCCTTCTATAACAATGTCTTGTACAATGCTTTTAAAGTAAATGCTCTGTTTTAAAAAATGAAAAACAAAAAAAAGTTGTAGAGACAGTACAATAATCCATTTTTTTTTTGTTTAATCCAGTTTTGTTTTTTTCTCCTTTTGTTTGTTTTTTGTTTATGTTAACTTATAGCTGATGTGTCATTGTTTCCCCTTGTGAAATGGTCACATTCTGTTCCTGGTGTACGCAGCATTTTCAGCAGATCAAAGCTCCATGTCTTAGCTTCTAATGTTGAAATAATACATGTTTCTGGCATGTGCACGACTTTGCGCTAATAGGCTAACCTGATCATTTCCCTCTGCTTCAAATAGAAATGTCTATTTATGAATTTTGCTTGTAGTTTTTCACAAATAAAATTGTTAATGTTATCTACGTCCTGGTGGTTCTGTCTTCTCCAGTTTTTGAAGTATTTTAATACATTTTGCTTTTTGCTTGTACTGACATTACTGATATTTTAAGCACCAGTTGCTTGGTGAAACACACAAACAAAAAGTTTTCCCACAATGTGTGTAAATACCAACTTTTTTTTTAAAGCGTGTGTGCCAGTCTGCCCACGTCTCAATTAAGGTAATCAACCCTTGGTTTTTGACAGCCCTAGAATAAAAATAATAAAAAAGGAATTAAATAAATATATGCAGCAACAGAAGCACAATAATGTATGACAGAGAGATTAGCTGACAAGTTAAACGTTACTGTCAAGACAGATGTAATTCATGAAGTAGAACTAAGCTCTGAATAGCTGTCAAATGTCAATTAGCACACGACTGATACTCAGCAGGCTCTGCTCCAGCTTTGCTCCGACTCTTCCGCTCTTAACAGTTCCCCAAGAGCGACTGCCTTTCACAAATAAAACTATTAATTGTGAAACTACATGAGCTGAACACTAATTTGTCTGGGACCAATCCGCACACTGTTACACCTTTAATTTAAACACATTTTTGCAGTGCAAAACAAATGCCTTAGTGTAATTGGAAAAGTTGTCAGATTCACAACAACCAGTTTTAATTACTCAGCTTATTTATATCTTGACGATATCAAGTCATCAGCAACCCTTTACATTGGGGGTGCTGCAGGGGTAGTGACTTGGCCAAGTTTTTATAACCAATTCATGGGCCACTATAGATTGTAAAATGTTAAGGTTTGGTAAGAACAAAAAACAATTTAGAGGGTTGTCAAAGGAGGCTGACAAATCTTCACATGCACTATTACTACAGCACGATGAAAAAAGAAAGTCTTAACTATGTGACTCAGTAGTTACAGGTAATATTTGAAGATGGAAAAAAGTGCAGTTGACCTCATAGATTTTACATGATGACAATGGTTGACAGTTTTCATGTTTTTTTTCACAGTTTGTGGATTCTACAGAATGTCATCTCTGCAGACAGGAAGTGTTTCAGTGTGTGTGTGTGTGTGTGTGGAGTTGGCAGACTGTATTGATTGAGTTGTTTTGGAGAGACTGCCTGTGTCTGGAGGAGACGTAGCCTCCACAGTGCAGGAACACATGAGGAGAGGGAGCCCTCATACTGACAACAGCTTTCAGTCATGTCACTCCACCCCCTGCCCCCTCCCCAGGGGCTGGTTAGCAGCCCACTAATGCACCACCTAAGAGCTGCAACAGATGAGTATTACAGTCCTTTGTCGTCATGAAAAACCACACACACATGAAAGTATAACTGAGAAGAATAGTTTGTGTTTCAGATTCACTTCAGTGACTATTCCTTCCCCGTCTCTTTATACACTAGGCTCATATGGTAATGATGGTTAGACACAGTCCCATAGGTTTAGGACTGCTGCAGTAACTCTTCCCTGAACACAGTCCTACGCTGCATCGAGAATGTCTCACTGTAGAGATGAGAGATGCCACCAAACCTATTGCCCTGCTCACCTGAGATTCACTGAAAAACAATGATAATGTTTCCTGCGGTCTGATTTGTCAGTGTTTCTGGGGGAAAAGTAAGGAACCGGGTTAAGATTAGGTCAATGTCCTATGAGAAAAAAACTGTTGGTGTTTGATTCATGGGTTAAAATAGTGGTTTACAAAATTGGGAGCGGGACCCCCTTGCTGACATAGAATTATTGTTGGTCCAGCAGGTGAAATATATTTAGTTTTAATATTTTATTATTTTTTGCCACAGTGGGAAACGATTACAGGTGCGTTATTGTAGTTCCCCTTTCCAGTCAAAATGTCAGTAATTTTTTTATGTAGTGTTCGGTTAATATGTCTGTATGAAGGGAGACTCCGATCAATACAATGGGGGCACTGCAGAAAAAGTTTTGGAATCAGAGGGTTAAATGCAGAAGAAAACTCGTGAGATATGAAAAAACAGGTGTGTTTTCAGTTGCTCTTGGCAGATAGAAAGATAAAGGTATAGATAATCAGGTACATTCAGACTATCTTCCATTCAGTGTACACAATCTTAAACATCTCTGTCTTCCATCTCATTTGAAACCTGTTTTGAACTTAAAAGTTAAGTTAAAAAAAGAATTATTGCAATGTTTAGATTAATACACAATTATATAATTCGCGGCCTGTCAAAACACTGCTGCATTAATCATTAAAATGCCTTCTGTCCGGAATTGCAGCTATAGCAAGGCAGCTAAAGTTGTGATGCTGTAACCAGAGTCCAGTCGTGCGTTCATCCTCAGATCATTTATTTAATGTGGTGAAATAAAATCCAGCAGACTGAACATTTATGCTGCTGTAATGCTGTATAAATATTAAATATACTGTATACTGTAATAATACCCAATAACTGTGGTTGCCTGAGTTTCCAGCCACTAGTGAAAACATTAAGAAGCACTTACTCTGGTCCCACTGGTGTTAGAAGGCAAATTAAGTCTTTTAACTGTGAATTAATGAGTCGTCTCATTGCTTGTGAGTCTGATTCTCTTCATCTCATAGTAAATAATGGTCACGGTCAGTCAGTATGACTGGATAAATAATGGTCACGGTCAGTCAGTATGGCTGGAGTTGACTGGGTTGTTCACTTCCATTTTGTTTGTGAATGAAGCTCCTGGTTAACAATCAAACATTGCGTCATTCACAAAATATCACTACAAGTGCTCTGCAACATGAAATTGTTTCATTTGAGATGATTTGCAGTCTGTAATAAAGAAATGTTTTTGCTTAAGATCTGATTATTTATTTTAATCTCAACCTGTTTGAATCTAATCTAATCTAATCTAATCTAATCTAATCTAATCTAATCTAATCTAATCTAATCTAATCTAATCTAATCTAATCTAATCTAATCTAATCTAATCTAATCTAATCTAATCTAATCTAATCTAATCTAATCTAATCTAATCTAATCTAATCTAATCTAATCTAATCTAATCTAATCTAATCTAATCTAATCTAATCTAATCTAATCTAATCTAATCTAATCTGACTACCACATTGTGATATAAAACATGTATCTTTCTTAAGGGGACTTATTCGGCTAAATCAAACCAAAGTTGGCATCTGTGACGTTGCATAATGCCGTTTCTCTGTAAGGTATGTTTTAGCCTGGCAGTGTTGAAGCAGAGCTGAGGACTGCTTTTCTCTTTCTGCCTTATTCCGATGAAAAACATCACCATAATCTTACACTTCCAGCTGGACTTCCACCCATATGGGCATCTTCCACTCATGTCGAACCCTCTTTTAGGGCGTCACAAACAGGTCCACATGTTGGGGAAGTGCTGTGAGTGTGCAGATAAGAAACCACACACTTTTATGTGAAAAGAAAATCAATAGGCCTGATGAAATGTGTGAGCCATATTTCCTCTTAAACCACAAAGCTCTGTGATGTTCAGAGGCCTGACTCAAATAAGGAAGTGCTGTGGAGACAGCATGCATTAAAAAAGCTGGGTCGTTTTACTGTGATTGTGCTGAGTGCTACAGAGTTTTTGTCCTGTCTCAGTCATGGGTTATAATTTTATTAACAAAAAGTTCTTGTCTAAAAAGACTGAAATCGAGTTTTTTTTACATATAAAAATATATAAATATAAATATTTTTTATTTTTTAACACATCATATCAGAAATATATCAGAAACAATACGCAGTATTCATCATTCGTTCTCGTTCTCAGGTTTTCCCCTGATTGCATGACTTTCCAATCACGTATGTCTGAGGTTTTTGTTTTTTAGCCAATCATATTTCAGCCTCATGTGTTGCCAGGTTGAAAGGAACCAGCCCTAAAGTGTTTTGGCCGGAAGCCTAATATGAATGGCAATGAGAAAGGTTCTTTAACCAATCATATTTTGAGCTGGCCCGCAGTTACGTTGGCGATTTGAGTTATTTGATTGGATGGTCAAAGAACATACAGTCTTGAATGTAGCAAACTGCATGTAGCAACTAGCTCGCTAGAAAATAAGCTTTTGAAAAAGCTTTTGTCGCGCTGACATTTTCAGTCTGAAGTGAATTAAAACTTATGCGACAGGACAGACCTGACTTTCATCATAGATGTTGATAGAAAGACACTTGTTAGAACGGCATCTCTGTGATGCACTGTACAACAGAGTAATTGAATTAATCTTATGGAAAGGGATGGTACAGCTAATCAAAGGTTTTGGTGAGTAAAAAACGTTTTTTTTAATATTACTGTAATTGTTGTTGTTATTTTGATGCTTTTTGGTGTACGTTATGTCGCAGCTGTGGCTGAATTGTGCTTCGTGGATTTGTTGCTTTAGTTATGGCTATATGAGCTCGTGGTCCGTGGGTCAGTTGGTACGAGTTCTCAGCAGGCGCAATAAAATAATAATAATTTGCTCAAATTAAAGAGGATCTTTTTTATTGTTTCGTCATCTAAAAATAATCAGGCAAATTAGAAAAAATAATGTATCCTTTAGATCTGATTTATTTTGAAAAGTTACGAAACGTCAATGTTTCATTATCGATTATTTAACAACTGGCCTGGCTAGTACAGACTGACCAGTTCTTGGTGCAAACAGGTTAGGGACTGCCACTGGTTTTGTATATTGGATCACATCATGCTTTATAAATTCAATTAATTTTTTTCTCAAACCCTTGAAAGTCTGTTTGTTTTAAACTGTAATAGTGACCAACCAAGTAAAACCAGAGTGAGTGAGAGCAGGCTTGGATGAGGTAATGACCCTTAGCACTGTGTTAATGAGCAATTACTGACTCAACTGCATTTTCCAATTACTGACTGCAGTGTGTGCATTCAGTAAATCTTCCTCATTTTTAACATAAATCAACGCTGCTCCTGGGGGCAAAGGGTAGGATGTGCTTTTTAACAAAGGTGGAAATATCCCCAAGGAGTTTGAGTCGACCTATTATATTACATGACAATATAAAAGTGTCTGTGACACTTCCGGGTGTGCAACATGAGAGGCAGGTGTTCGGTGACTTTTTTTTTTTTGTCTCTTGCACAACTGAAAAGCATACATCAGGATAAAAAGCCACTGCAAATAGTCTTGACAGAGAGCTATAATTCCTCTTTTTTTTAAAGAATTGAAATGAAATGGTGATGCAGTCATTACAGTTAAAATCATAGTGTCACAAATGATGACCTGGCATGTTTTCTAGGTTTGTGTAGTTAGTAGGGCTGTGAATTGTAACTTATTATTACTGGATTGGATTTGGATCAAAGGAAATGTACAACAATTTCTTGTGTGAGAAGAAGTAAAAAATACTTATTTAATCCTCACATCACTTTTTGTTTTCTACTCTGTGTTCACTACTGATCTTGTGAATTACCCACAAGCCCCCTAGGGCTATTCCTTCTGTTTACTCGGGGTGTTATTGTGTTTGACTTTGCCCCTCAGCTCTGTTGTGTATGTTTGAGTGTCTTGTTGTAGTTTTTGTTCAAACCCTTCAGTGATTTGACCCCACTGCCCTCCCTCCCTTCCATTTTAAAGTGAGGATAAAGGCAGTAAACAGAACTCCTGTTATATCTTATTTAAAAAGGACAGTGTTTTGAACGTTGACTGTAAGATCCTGGAACCAAAGTCCGGGGCAGTGTTAGTACACACAGAAGAGCAGGAGCCTGTTCCTATAAAAAGCATTTTTAAATCCTCACTTAACCTTTACAGCTGTAAACAATGGGAGGAACCACTTATTCCGTGCCCATCAATCAATGTGATATCGACCTCCACTTTCAGATGGAGAATTTGTTGGGCAGCGGGTGCGGCTGACCCTCTTTGGATTGTCTGTTCAATTCCGAGATGTCTGTTTACAGCCAGATGTCTGACTAAAGATCACAGCATTGTGTTTTCCTTGAAGTGATCATCATAAAGATGTCTCCAAGTAGGGGGCTGTGCTACATGCAGTTGACTGCTTCAGCTTAGGAAATGTAACCAAGGATATCAGAATGTTTGAGTCGATACAATACCAAATACTTTTTTGGTATACCAATACTGATATCAACACTTGCAATTTTTTCCATCTATTAATTATTATCAACATGTTATGAGAGTTATTGATAGTCAAGGAATACTCATGTGAGTATCGATATATTGATACCACAGTATCAATACCACCAACATGATTTAGGAATGAAAATGAAAACGAGCACATAGCCCAGTGGTACCTGACATGACCCCCAGGCTGCGCACATCTGTTGGAGCGCCTCGACACCTGTCATGATAATTCACATTATGAGTGGGCCTCTCTCAGCCTTGAGAGTCATTACAAGGACGTTATTAAATATTGATGCCCGGGTTGGAAACTGAAACACCGCGTGATGTTTTCTGAGCCAGATGTGAGCGTAAACGACAGCCGATCATTTTGTTTCATTTATACCAAGCAAAATCGAACACTAAGATACGTAACTGTGCTTCTACACAGAGCATGACAGAAGTTTTCTCTGTGAGGCGCTCATGTGATATCTTGGTTGTTTTTTATCATGTATGTTTTAACCAAAGACAAGGTCAAAAAGTCAAAAGTTACACCACACTGGCAGTTCTTTTGTTTCTGCTGGAAACAAACAGGAATCTAACTGGAACTCAAAGTTGTCATACTTGTTCTACCAATTTACTTAGACTTTAACTCCAACATTTTCTCTGTACCAGCTTGCAGGCTCTACATCAAAGCGACACACCTTTTAACCTAAAAAAAAGGTTTGTACGTGTTCACCCTACTTCCACAATTCTGCACTTGTACACACAAGTACTTAGTTAATTTAATTTCTTGATAAAATGATAAAATTCTCTCTTTGGTGATGAAGGTTGCAGACCTTGAGTTTTACCCTGAGTTTAGGCCTCTATATTTATTGGTTCCTTCTTTGACATTCATTGGCGATGTGACTCCCAGCAGCATTGCTGCTGTGACTCAATGTGATGGATTTGTAACGTAAAGAACGCCATGTTTTTGGTAGAGAAAATGTGGATGTTTTATTACTTGTTATCAGCAAGAAAGGTTCCATAAAATCACAAATTTTCTTCAATAAAGATTTTCTGGACAGAGAGACTTGTGTACACTCTCTCGTCTTAAACACATTTACATTGGCTTCCCTCTGACTGCAGATCAAATCTCACAATAAAAGCACAATGACAAAGGATTTATTTAGCAGCAGCACCAGAGCTCATAAATTGAAACAGTAAATCTCTGTTGAAGAACTTTACTGCTTCTTTCCTCCATCTGTCTGTGGAGGATTTTTTTTCCTTCTTATGAAGCTGCCACAAATTCTGTAGTGTTGTTTTTCTGCCAAAAAAAAAATCATTGGATCTCTCAAAATACTCGTCATTAAATCTCCTTTGCTTGGATTTGCCGAAGGGCTTTTGGCTTTTTGTTATAATCTGCAGCTCTTCAAGATGATACAAAATAATGAGGATGATTTTATAACCACAGGCCCGTAACTGTGAGTGTGTGCAAGGAGACGGTGAACTACTATTGCATGCTGAATGTGTTTATGTAGGTTGTCTACATAATCAGCACAGTTAGGGCTGCTGTTAACAGGCCTGGCAGCACCGTAAATTATGGATGAACCTCGGAGCTTTGAGAGTCTTGTAAAGCAGCTTCAGCTGGAGGTCAGGAGCTGAGCCTCTCATATCTGTCCCAGCTGGCCCTCAGGGCCTGCTCGCTGTGTTCTGACACCGTTTACACATCATACTCAGATCAGGAATCCATTAAACATGACTGCTGCAGGTCCAAGCTGGGTTGGAGTAAGCTTGTTTTCAGTTATTATTTTATTTAATCCTCGTCAAGAATAAATGGAGGTGATTATAATTGTCCACAAATAAACTTCTGCATCTGAGCTGCTGACAGAGTTACTGCTCCTCGGTGCTTCCAGTCTCCTCCTGACTGCTTCAAGGGGGGTGTACATTAGTTCATCATTTAGGCTAATTACTGTAGAACAAATGGTTCTCTGCTGCCTGTCAGCGTGCGGCGTGTAATCATCTGACCTACTCACTGAACTCCATGTTTTTTGAAGCATGTGAACTGTATAATATTCACCCTGCTTAATTATTAATGGGGCCAAACAGCGCGGGTTGTGCAAACCATTTAATCTGTTACTTCACAGCTTGGAGAGATTTCGTTTGCATAATTTAATGTGAAGTAATGCAACATGTTAGAGAAAAATAAAGTAACGGAATAGCAAAACAGGGCTCAGCTTATTATGGGCCACACAGTGTATTTAACCTGGCCTGTACACAGGGATGAAACAGCCAACCATCACTTTGGCATGTATATGGGCCACATGAAAATGACATGTATTGATATGTGATTGATATTGATATGATTGATATCCACCCATATCACACTGCACCGCCACTGGAAGGTACCAACCGCCCTACCCGGGATTCGATCTTGCCCAGGAGGTGAACCCTGGGGTTCCACACCAGTGAAAGAGACACTGCCTCTGGGCCAAAGTGCCACTTTGATGAAAACCAAATGGGAATTCTTACATTAGACTTACAAAATATTTTTTTAAATTAAACAGTAGTTTGCAAAGTTGGTTCTTTGCCAACAAACAACTAAAGCACGTGTTTTGGGATTGTATTGGAAGTTTGCTTGATTCTTCTATTAATGCTCTCCCAGATATTTCAAATTGCAGACAGATCTGAACTGCTGCACAATTTCACTGCAGATTTTATACTTGCTCTTTATACTTTTTTAATTTACAGACATCCTCACGTTTAGCACAAGCCAGTGAGTTCTGAACTGATAACTTAAGCACACTAAGCACACTACCAGAAACTGATTTGTCTAGTATCTCTCTGTCCTTGCTCAGCCTGCTCTGCTATCACACCCTGTCTGCTTTATGGGACTGTCTTAGACGGCTCAACACAGACGGCTAATATTCCACAATAAACTTGAGTAACTGAAAAGTAAAGCTGAGCATTGCTTTGCACTCTGTTAACATTCTTCTGCTGCCCCTCCCCCAGCTCAGTGCTGTGTAGAAACAGCTCCTCCAAAGTAGACACTCTGAATTTTAATAGGGTGCAGGGTCAATTTGCATGGAGCCGTGTAATGCTGTTGCAAAAATGAATGTGTTAGCGGACCGTATAGTAATCGACGTGGTCAGTCAGTTGGTGAGGTGGAGGATGAAAGTGGTAGCTTAACATCATTTTAAGTAAATTCCATTTAATTTTAGTGCTTCTATCTTTCCACGTCTGGCTCTTTTTTTTTTATCTAAGGTTCTTGAGTCCAGAGCAAAGTTTTCTCAGGATTCAATGAAAGATGTTATGGCTTGTTCAGATTTCTACATTCTTTTCTTCAGCTTCGTTTACACTCGTGCTAGGGTTTAAAACGTTTATAGTTGTGCTAAAATACACCTGCTGTACACATGACGATGAAGATATACATTATTGGCGTGGCATATTTTGCTACACACAATGGAATTCCTTTGCATTAACCCATCCATGAAACAAGATCAGTGGGCTGCTCCCGCCTGCGCCTGGGAAGTGGGGGATTTGGTCGTGGTTGCTGAGCACATCTGTTTTAAGACCTTCTGAAACCCCGAGAACTTGAGTTTTTCAGTGCTAAAGATGTGATTTTTAATGCACATCATGTACGAATTCTCTGTCATCTACCACATTGGTTCCCAAAGACTGGGTCGCGACCCTCAGGTGGGTTGCAAGAGGGGTTTTTTTGGGAGTCATTTTGCATCATGTTTCTATCGACTTGGGTGTGTGTCTTTTAAAATATGGGTCCCCAGAATAAAGGTTTGGGAAACACTGATCTACCAGAGGCTGAGGGTGACTTTGTGGTCCTGTTTTATCTTATTTCTTATCATGTCAACAATTTCACCAGTGTGGGATCAATTAGGTTCAATCTAATCCAGTCTAATCTAATTTAATCTTTTGTCTTCTTGAAGAATAATCAGTAGTAAACAGTCCATTGTTGCCACTGTTTATTGTTGTTTTTTCATTTGTAATTGACACAGTTGGTAATTAATTTTTTATTCCTTTTTCTATCTGTGGTTGTGTTTTCATATACGGCCTATCAGACTGACTATCAGCAGTTGATTAGCATTGAAGTTAAACCTTGAAATGTCAGGTCATGTGACTGATGGCACAGACCTGACATTTCTGTAATAAGACAGGAGTAAGACACAAGTTTCTGAAAGCAAATTGCTTTCATTCAAATATTGAAAATGAACATTATTATTGTGTCTATTTTACCCATTTAGTGTCATCTGGATTATGAACAAATTGTTTGAAAATCCTTCATTTCACAGAGTCAAGTATGAAAGATTACTTGCGTTCAAAGAAGCCGCTTTGAACGTCTAGTGTTTGACTGACTTGGACACAGGCCAACATCCTAAATAAGAGAACCATGGAGCTTCAGGCAGAATTGGAATTCAAATATCACAGGGAAAAAAAGTAGTCCACTCTGCAGTCCAAGTCTTATTCGTCTTCTTCCAACAGTGGAGTTACTGCTGTCAATATGCATTTGCAGCACTTGTGCAGCTGCACTGAGGTCTGTGTAGATCAAACTCCAGCACCGCTGCTACAAGTAAAACTGTGATTACAATTTGACAGCCCTAAGATGAATGCATCATTGCATAAGTTAACCTTGGGTTGAAATGTGTAATATTACATGGTTAATAATTGGTAGTTTTTCAGTATCTTCACCTGTTCATGGCCTGTGAAGTTCTTCATGCAACTGAAATTCATGCTTGTTCTGAAGCTTCTCTCAGGTCAGCAGAGAAAAGCAGCCGGAACCTTCACTGTTGCAGCTGCAGTGATCCAAACAGTGACTGATAATCAAGAGGACGCATGAGAAGTCGCGCAACAGACATGTGCAGTGATGCAGCTGCAACAATAAATCCACACGTGAGTGACTGGAATGCGCTGCCGTGATTGAAAAACGCTGGAGTAAGTGCCTGGTTTTTGCACGATGGCTGGTACAATAGCAGTGAAAGCCTTTTCCTTTGCAACAGCGAGCGTAATGAGATAGGGAGAGTGGAGACGGAGAGCACAGCGTGCATCTGTGAGCTCCGGTCTTATTTTAGGCTCGGCTGAGAGTGGATGTCTGTGTGGATCCATGGGTGGGGGTGGTAGACAGCGGCGTATAGGATGTAACAATGCTGCTAAAGATGTCACTACAGTACAGGAGCTGTGAGCAGTGCCAACCTGAGCAACCCGCTGCCAACTGGCCCTGCATCCACTGTCTGTTCTACAGCACCCACAGAGCATCAGTGGTGCTCCTCACAACCAGCAACTGGTGCATCATTTACCGTCTCGCTCTGACTTGCCAACATTTTACTGTATGTGACACACTTGTCTCTCTGTAAGTAGATTTGTGGAGGAGGACAAATATTTCTGTGTAAAAAAATAATTTTTGCAGCTTGTCTTATGTTTGCAGCTGTCATCAGTCACAGTTTGTGGGTGACTGAGGATCAGCTGAGGATTTACAGGTAATGGAAAAAAAGATCAGACTGCTCTCCCTACATCTCTCCGGCTGCACTGCACCGCAACAACCCAAGTCGTGATGAAGTGCAGTGGGTCTTTGTTGGCTTAAAGATATAGAAATTGCTTCTGCTCCTCTCCTACAGTACATTCTGATATTTCATCAGCGCTGGAATGCACCTCCTTTCTCTGGAATTAATGGCCAGGATTTCTATGAATGTGAAAGCAGGCTGCTGCTGCTGCTGCTGCTGCTGCTGCTGCTGCTGCTGCTGCGGCGGCGGCGCTGTTCGCCACTTCAGCTGCTCCACGCTGCTGCTGTGGAAACAGAGCAGGAGAGAGGCAGCGGCAGCTGTCTGGCTCTTCAATCAACAATCAGAACCACCCTGTTAGTTTAGACTTACTGGATCAGGTTTCCACATCCTGAGCTTCCTAAATTTCTTCCATTACATTCATTTCTTTTTTTTTTTGGCCAGTCAAATCAATAGGTTGTTATTTGTCAGTGTGTGATTCCTTGTGGAAATGCTGCTTCTGAAGATGCTTGGCTACATCCAGGCGCGGTTCAAGATCTTTTTAATAGAAAGTTCATGCACTTTAGGAACAATGTTTTTTAGAGCTTAAAGGCAAAGGCTTGGCATTATCTACAATTAAAATTCTACTAGAGGATTCTCCTCTGTCAACAAGAACCTGCTGAGTTTAATCCCTAGGTGGGTTTACAGAAACGACAAATCTTTTTTCATCCTTTTGAACTCCGTCTTTAAAGTTCAAGTAAACTTTGTCTCAAGATACCAAAAGAATTTAGTCATGGATGGGCTTTACAATCAGATGTGGGCTACAATATCAAAACTGAACAGACGAGTCTGCGGGCTCTAAATATCCTCAAACTGTCCTAGTTGTATTATTTTTACATCATATCGTTTTCCCTAAAGACAGTTTTTCTTGCTACTTGATTCTCTGTCTCTACTCTGTTGTTCTGATGTCATAATTAATATTCATTCTTTTTTTAATTCTTCCTACAAGTGATTACTTGTGTTAGGTTTAAAAGGGCAGCCTGACCTGAGCCCTGCTGGAAGACAAAGTGCCTGCAGTAATGCCGGCTCTGTGTCGGGGTCTCCTTGTACTTCCCAGGGGTGGTCACCTGAACCTTCTTCAAAGTGAGTCGCCTCATGGATATCTCTGCTCGGCACCAGAGGCACTGCTCAGTATGGAGCGGCGTCAGCTGGACAGACGTGCCCGTGTATCTGAGAGACATTTTCCTGCCCGCCATGAGCTTCTTTGGTCTCATTCCTAGTCTGTGAGCATACAGGAAGTGAAGGTTGAACATGGGTCAAAAGTAAACCAGGAGCTTAATGGCTTTCCTTGACTCTGATTTCGACCTTTAAGCTGAGTGCTGCTCTCTTGTTTTCCTGCAGAGTTTGACCTAATGTCCTCGTTGATGGTTGATGAATGATTCGAATGCAGACTAGAAATCTTAGTGAGGACTACTTGAGGAGTATAACCTTCAGAGTAAATAATCCTGTCCACCACACAGCTGTCACTTGTTGAAATATGAGTTAAAAACTACATTAACTTATATTGACATCTTATTAAGTGTAATGACCCGGTGCAGCCTTGGTTTGGTAGCAAGAAGTCAGCTACAAGAAAAAGGGTCAGTGATATGTTGTGCTTTTACGAAGTAGGCAAAGGTCTCACCTTGTGTTGTGTTTAGTTAAACATGATGATTCTTTACTCGCAGGCATTTAAGAAAGACAGACATGAAGATTCATTTTATTTTTCTTATCAGGATTTTTATTTTCAGTTCTGCTGAAGCATTTTGGATGAGCCATGAAACATCTTCAAACAAGATGGTCCAGTTGACTTCTATTTAATGGCATAAAATGACTTGGATTACTGAGGACACAGGATCAATGATAGAAGTAAGAAGGGTGCTAATTTTGTAATTAGTAGAAAACCTAAAGCTTGTAATCACCATGAAAGATATGAAACAGTTTGTGACATTAAATTACTTCTCTGACATAAACCTTCTTATATTTCCAAGCATCCAACACTGGGCGGACACAGACTCTGTCCTTCAGAAGATCTTCCATCCAGTCGTTCATGCTACCCCAGCAACAGGGTAGGACCTACATGTAAGATCTGTTAAACCTTCTGTCGTTCAAGGGAAGAAACCATAAAAGGTTTCTTTGCTCATCTTAAATTGGATTTTATTGATATCGTTTAACGGTGTTAAATAATTTGATTAAAGGAGTGATAGATCAATCTACACATCTGAAAGTTTTGCACACCAGGACCGTGACATTGTATTTTAGTCAGACACCTGCACTTCATGTAGCTTGTGTTGAAGGGAACTGCACTTGACAACAAAGGGAGTGACTGTGGTTAATCAGTGGACCTTTGAACTGTATGGAGCGGAAACTGCTGCTGTTGGTGGCCCCCTTCTGACTTTGTCTCTCTTCTGACTGGGTTGTGTGTTGTTGCTCAATTTGGTGCAGTGCGTGTTGCTCTTAAAGTGCCATTTTTGGTGCTGATGTTGTTGTGTGTGCGGGCTTTGTGCTATATTGTCTTTGTGAACTAAAATGAATGTCCATTTATAAATCTTTAGAAAAAAAAACTAGCTCTGCGTTCTGACAGCTGTCAGAGATCTAGAGCAGTTTTATATTGGGATCAGCATCTGAAAGATGATAAACTGTTATGACCCAGTTCACTGTGAGAAGAATTGCTACAGGACAAATTTATGCCTCATACAGTATATTGCTTCACATTACGATGGAAAGGTAAATGCACATCTGTTTTACTGACATCTGCACGGTTTAAATCCAGAACAATCTGGATTTATT